TTGTACTCAGACCTAGGAGCCCCATGGTGGATTAGGCACCCACTGTGCTGAGTGTTACACAAACAATAGGAGGCTCCAAGGCCCAGAGGGTTTACTCTCAACAGTCCTGATAACACAAACTGTATAAATATAAAAGAAATGAAACAGGACAAATAATAAAGTTTGTCTTTAAGGGTCAAATTATGGAAACTGTTCCAGAACAGATGTACATATACAGTAGGATGAAACTTTCAAAACGGCCATGGAATTTAGATACCATGGTACTTGATTTTCTTCATCATTAGAGAGAGTGTGAATTCCTGGCCCTATTGAAATGGGGACTTTTGCTATGTTGCCCCCTTGATGGTTTTGAAAAATCTCATCATGCTGTACTCTACGCATAGAGTGTTGATATGTGTCTGAATTCTGGATAACAGTGTGTCAGACATACCCTATCCTCACCATTTTCTACCTGGCATAACAAATGGGTGCAAGACATACGAAGTAGAGGTTTCTAAAGGTAGGAGATGAATGGAATAAAAAACTTGGGGCCCTTAGGCATTGCTTTTGAATACCCTTCTCTAGATGCAGCACTTCTCCAAGGATTATGAGCAGAGTCAAAAATGGAGTCGAAAGCTTTCTGTCTGCACTCCCCTTTCACCTTGACAGTTTTGGCATGTAACAAACTAGGCAGCCCAAATTTGTTTCAAAACAGGTAAAATATTAAACCACGTTTCTGTCATACATTTCTAAAGTCAGGCGGAAAATAAGTTGCCTGGGAGATGCTACAGGCTGCAGCTGTGCTTAGAATTCATGCAGTTTTCCTTTAAATAACCATGGTGAAGTGATGAGATTCGGGCACATGTGTATCACTTAGCAGGGTGCGTTTATGGGTGTTCATGACCTGGAAATGCAGAATGACAAATAAAAGTATCAAAGTTCTTCCGTAACTTTGGTATCCTAGTGCTACCCATGAAATGACTGCATTGTGACCTACAGGATAAGAAGTCGGTGCATTTCTGCAGATCCGTGATAAGATATTTTTCTCTACTCAAAAATGCAGTCAAACTCTGCATTCTGAATCTGTCCCTGCCAGAACCCTGGATGCATTAGTATTCCACTAGCAACTGCCTGTAGGTAGGAATATTGTTTTTTGTCCATAACCAGAGGGAACAATCAGACTAAGCCTTTCCCCGACTATAAACCAGCCACAGTAATTGGGTTTAATTTTAATTTTTGTAATAGCTTTAAATTAAAAGGAGCAGCTGCTGCCACAGTGTGTGGGTGTCCTTTTCCAGAAGGCATAGAACAAAAAAGGAAAAGAGTAAACAATAGTGTGTCTAGGACACAAAGGTTAATTTAAGAACTGAGCAATGTCTTTTCTTTATCAAAATCTCAGTTGATGAGATCTAACACTGTGTCTCCTTTCTTTATTTTTTTCCCCTTCTAAATTCCAAGATAAGATCTGAATCTGATTAGGCTCCTGTATGTAAAGATGTGTTGTTGGTATCTAAACACTAACTCTTTCTCCATATGACTCCCAAATAGATTAACAGTGACAAAGTGGTGGGAGAGATAAGAATAGATGAGCAGTGACAGGGGTACTATTATAATTATTTTTGGAAGATAGTGCCCAAACTCTTAATTCAGACCATTTCTGCCCTGAGAGGGTGAATTTAAACCTATGAATTGAGGATGGTTTCTACTGCTGTGTCAGACACCAGATAGTGAAATGTCAATACCAGATGTCCTAGACATCGAGATTAGCCATAATAGCCAAATGCAGCCATAAAATGGTGTGTCAAAGTGGATAATAAAACAGATGCTTAGCTTTTATAATGAAGGGGAAAGGGAATGAAATATCAAAAGTGTATTTCATACAATAACAAAAGTTATCTTTAACTTGCTTCAAAGTACAAAATTATTGAACCATTCATCATTTAAGCATTAACTATCAGCAGATGAATTTCAATTAGCATTACCCTTTCTGGAATTCTGAATTTCCTCCTCAAGGTCCCATTTTACATGCAGTTATTATTGCATAAAGTAAGGACTGCCCTTTGTTATTTCCCCCTCTGCTAATTTGGAAACAAATAAAGTTCAACAACTCAGCAACCTACCATTTAAACTTTCATTATGGTTTGAGAACTGGGAGCTAGACTACTGCTCACTGCCACATCAATTGCTTGATTTGAGAGCAAATGAGGGATGTCCTATAGCACTCCAGAGTAAGAGTGAGCGATAGAAATATGTTAAGATACTCGACAAACCTATTAGGTTAGGGTACTTTCTGCAGACAGCTGGTGGCAATTTTCCCCCCAATAGCACTTCTAAAAAAAATGAGTATTTTTGTGTCCTTCACATTCGTGGCTTTAAAACCATTTTCACTTAGTTAAGATCAGATCGTCAGTACTAAGAAAGTCTTAGAAACCAAAAATACTGAATGAAACCCTCAAAACCATCTGTGTTCAAGAACCAGAGCAATAAGAGGAACAAATAATTTTTATTTTGACTCTAAATAGCTATCACTATCTTCTTATTGTATGTGTCCAAGAACATTTCAATTCCCTTCTGTTCTCTTTGTAGCCCCTGAGTTTTGAGGATCACACTCCTTAACTGTCGTTCATTAGCAAGCATGTGCACAATGCAGGGGTTTGTTCTCCATTTTTTATCAAGAATGAAAGACCAAAATTGGTGCTCTGCAGTAGTCTAGCTTCTCGGAAAGGACACATTACCATTGCTATGTCTGTAAATTATATTATGTTTTCCTGCACTGTATTTAGCTCAGATCTGCTATGACCATTATATGAAACCTATTTATAATCCTATATAATTTAATTAGTTGGCGTTGTCTGCAGGATCACAGCATGCTTTTGCCAAACACAACTGGGGAATTATTTGCTTTAAATTACAAGAGCATGGTATAACTAGAGAATGTGCCTGATTCAGTTCTGGTAGAAAACCTGTATCCAACACCAAGCAGTGCCAGATTAAGGCATAAAATAACTAAACTTCATGTTAGAGATTCGCAATATGAGGGGACCTCCAAAAGAGAAAGAAACTGACTTCATTTCAGATTTTATCAAAACCGGTTTCTACATAATAGAGATATGGGAAAAATTAGATTATCTCTGAATACAGACATTTTTGGTCAAATATGACAAATATACACATCTGGCTCTGCAAATTCTCTTTCCC